AAAAAAAAAAAAAAAAAGCCGGATGGAGGGAGGCAAGGAAATAGGCATTTTGTAGCCTGCCTAAACCTCATATGACGGCAGGGTGAAAAAAGGTCATGCATGGGCAAAGGAGTCATAATGCCTTGTGGAAACTCCAGATATCTGAAAGTCTTATCTGATGGAGGAAAGACAGGCGTCATTCTGTTCATTTTTGGAATCTACATGCATACTACGTGGTAGGCAGTCAATATCAGCATTCCTCAAGCCCTGTGAGTCTAATCATAAGAGTATGCGTTAGTTAAGCTCTGTGGTCTATTTTCTCCAATCCAATTGGGCCACAACTGATGGATGACGACCTACAGTCGGTGCCGCCCGAGTCGACAAGGCGCATGTACGATAGCTGGGCTTGGTGTTGCATCTGTTGAAAGGGGCGGTGCCCCACTGATAGCAGATGACTTGTCTGTACTGGTGGATAGTTGGGCTTCTGAGGTTGCGGTGTCTGACTAACGCGTATCTTCGAGCAGTGGATGTTGACGCAGAGGCATCACCAGCAGCAGTACATGTGGCTATGCTACAGCTGTAACGATGTTCTGACTTGTCGTTACTCTTGCAATAACCAGTTGCCGAGTCTCCAATTTGCGCCACTAACAACAGAACTGAAAGGTCGAGATAAAGATTATCGGCTTAAAAAACGAGAGTAGTGCTTCTTCCACCTAGCGGAGGTCTTCTTCTCCCAGCCTCACATTCGCTTAACTCGCACTGCCGTTACCATGGTTCGCGTTCCAATTCTCAATGCACCGGCCGTTGCTCTGCTTGGGGCAGATGCTATCCCTTGTCAACCGACGACGACTACCGTAGCAAACCTCGATGCTACTTCGTCGACTGTTGAAAATGAGGCCTTGTCCACAGCCATGTTGAAACCTCGTCCACGGGTACTACTGGTATGCCATTCTCGTGTGGAAAAACCACAGCTGCCGATGCAACTCTGGCTGAGACATCGTCCACTGTTACTATTGACACTCACACTACCATCACTACTGAGACTTCAACTCTTTCGCTCGATACAGGCACATCGGTTCTAACAAGTTTGCTCGACAACTCGATCACAATTTTCAATGGTTCAACCGCACTCCAACTGACACCACAGTGACTAACCTTGCCAAAACAACCACCGAGAGCAAGGACAAGCCCGTAGCGACTACAATATTATCGAAATGCGTCGAGACTGGCTTGTTGGTCTACCCAGGCTTCGACCATATTTCTGCCAGCATTGCACCCTAGATCAGCAACGGCCAAACAAGTGATCAAAACATCCAATCTAGCATCTGCTCCAGGCACGTTTATATATTAGACGATGCGATTCACTATTAATAAGTATAAATTAGGGGCTATGCCTTGATCAGTAGCGGCATCATTCTCTCTATCAAGCAAAATCTGGCAAACCTAAATTACAACTACAAATCTACATATTACCACCGGGTATTTTCCACAAGTATTCTTACAGACTACTACCGTAATGCTTCGTTCAAGGTTAGAGGATTATCTTTTTATTCCTTTGCAGATAACAGTGTCGGGGATGGAGGTCTGCAAATGTTGAGTGGCTTAGTCTGGGTGAATATAGTGCAGAGAAAGAAGTCCAATTCGACTTTGCCTGTCCAAAAGACTGTACTAACACGCATGTAGAAACTGATAGCCTTTCATTCAAGGAGATTTGCCCCGGAAACGTTACGGAAATACGGAAGGAAGTCCTGTATTTACTATTGTCAGTATATTTTCGTCTGAGTATTGTCGTCAGCTTTGGTAAGCAAAACAAGGAACATCCAGTTATCATCGCTGATAAACTTATCTTCTAGAAACATTTATCCTACTAAGATACCTTGCAGTCCCGTTTTGTAACCGGTCGGGCCAACTCACCGCCGACTTACCTACCACCACTGCAAGAATCCCCATTTGCCATACAACCGAGTCATGGCGAACTTACAAAAAGTCCTCCACCTTGGTCCCTTTGTCCTCCCTACAGAAGGACCAGCCAACGAACAAGAATGCCCAGAGCGCTTTGTTACCTTATTCCAGTAGGTCACATGGCGTCTTCGCGGATCACTGTCCCAAACAGGCAACTGGTCAATTGGTCAGCGGGTCTTTAGTGGCAATGGGGTTGCATCGATGAGATATGCATGAATTTAAAGTGGTAGATGATCGGCACTTTAGCTTGGCGGTCTGTATGACTGGTGGTTTTATTTATCCTGCACTTATCTCTATGCAGACTAACGGCTTAGGTGCCGTATTTATGCTTCTCGACCCCTGCTTTAACCCCGAAGATCGTAATTACTTTGGGGAGCCAATCACCAACCTCTTGTATCTCAACAGCGACATTATTGGACACATCGAATCTTGGGTTTCATTTCCCCTCACTGGGCAGATATCGCTTCGCTTGATCTGGATAAGGCTGAGGGCCTTATCGTGTTTGCCTTCGCTGTGTAGGACGCCAAGAACAAAAGAACCAGGCACAAGGGCTAAGAGCAAGAACCAGCTTCCTCTCCAGGAGAGATCGCCGAACCTTTATAGATAGCGAGATCTTGGTACCGTAATCTTGGTAGTGCAACATTGACTATAAAGAGTCGATTAAAATCTGCTCAATCTTGCTCTTTACTTCTCATCCACATTCGTTGTAGCATCATCAAAATGAAGGCCTCTCTCACCTCTCTCCTCCTTGCCACCCTGGCCGGCTCTGCCGTTGCTCAAGACAAGATCAACACGGCCAAGTTCGATGAGGGCTTCCTTCGTGCTAACTCCGCCCCCAATGCCATCGGCATGGGTGTCCTGCGCCAGCGCAAGACTGCTCTCTTTGAGAAGCAGGCTGCCTCTGGTGTCTTCGACAAGGACCGTTACAAGGTTGCCTCCTCTACAGCTTGTGTTGATGGAAAGGCCGGGGGTTACTCCTGCAACAATGTCGATATGAAGGGATTCCTTCGTCACCAGGACATGGGCAGCCGAACCCGTGTTGGTAACGATGTTTGGGGTATGTACTCTTATTGTGATATGAAGGGGATAATGCTAACTGTTCAGGATGGACTCACTCCTCCGGACGAGAGTTTGCTCTCGTTGGTCAGTCTGACGGAACTGCCTTCGCCGAAGTCCACAAGGACGGAAGCTTGACTTACGTCGGCCGTCTCCCCACCCAGACCGTCGCTTCATCTTGGCGCGACATCAAGGTCATCGGCAACTACGCCTACATTGGATCCGAAGCCGCCGATCACGGTCTTCAGATCTTTGACCTTACCAAGCTCATCAAGGCTGACCCCAAGAACCCTCCCACCTACAGTGTCAGCCGAGACTTGACCGCCCACTTCACTGGCTTCGGCAGCAGCCACAACATTGTCGCCAATGAAGCTACCAACCTTATCGCTGCTGTTGGTACCGAATCCAGCCTCAAGTGTCGTGCTGGTCTCTGGATGATTGACGTGTCCAACCCTGCCCGACCCCAGGATGCTGGCTGTGTCAGCAACGATGGATATGTTCACGATGCCCAGTGCATCATCTACCGTGGACCCCAAAAGGGTTACCAGGGTAAGGAGATCTGCTTCAACTACAACGAGGATGCTCTTACTATCGTCGACATCTCTCGACGCACCATGCCCCGTCAATTGTCGCGCACCACATACAACGGCGCTACATACACCCACCAGGGCTGGATCACCGAGGACCACAAGTACCTCCTCCTCGACGATGAGCTCGACGAGCAAGAGAAGACTGGTCCTGCAGCTGACCAGCACACCACCACTTACATCGTCGATATTCAGGACCTCCAGTACCCTGTCTTCCGTGGTGTTTACAAGTCCCCTCAGCGCTCCATCGACCACAACCAGTACATCATCGGTGGAGTTTCCTACCAAGCCAACTACGGCTCTGGCCTGCGCATGGTCAACGTGTCCTCCATCAACCAGGATGACACTGGTGCTGGCTTTAACGAAATCGGTTTCTTCGATGTTCACCCCGAGGATGATGAGGTCGGTGGTGAGGCTGAGTTCTACGGTGCTTGGTCTGTCTACCCTTACTTCCAGAGTGGAAACATTGTTGTTAGCTCTATTGAGCGAGGACTCTTCTCTCTCCGATACACTGGTTAAACAGTGTTGGAATTAATTCTTGTACATATTTATATTAGTCTACCAATTTAGTTGGACAATAAAGCCTTGAGATTAAAAGAACAGTGCCATCGTCCTTTGTGTGTGTAATCTTCCTAGCCGTCACCCTTGAATCGACATTAGACGCAACAGTTCTATGTCAGCTCACGATCTGCCCATTCAGGTAGGGGCAACTTATTGGACGTTCAATATATTTTCTTTTAATAGCGGATACAAAGACCTACGTGAGGTATCAGTATATGGTAAAGTAGCGAACAAGTAGTTCTTTAACGTCGAGTATGTAACCAAATTTCATCGAGAGCTCGGATCCTTGTATCGTAATTCTGTAAGAAGTTATTTTACCTGCTATGTTCTCCGCACAATATGATAAACTGTAAGCAGTAATACACTGTCCAGTAGAAGCTTCCTACAACTATAACTTAACATTATCTTAGCCGCTTATGAACATAGACTGTTAAAACGGATAGACGGTTTCTTGTTACAACACACAGTTATTTGCAGGTCTACTGACGTGTTTACAAAGAAATAGAAATTGAAACAAGACAGTAAAGTACTGAACAAGTACTACCGTCCGGTAAAGCTTTACGACTTTTCAATAGAACACAAGGGCTCGAGTGCATTACTTGTACATCGAATACAGAGCTGTTCTTTGAGCGAAGTAAAGAAGCATTGGTATAAATGTCTTCCAGTCGCTGCACATTTTCCAACCTCAATCAACTCATCTACACAACAACTACACAACACACAAAGTTCTTACTAGGAATTTCATCTACTACCTAAGACAGCAAAACAGTCACACACAACATACCGCAGCTACTCCCTTAACATCATTTGCTCCAACATTTCATCAACAATTTCACAATATCTGCTACCTCAACAGCCCACAATGTCCAACATCGAGGATCTCGGCCGAGACACCTGGACTTCAGTTATGGACATCCTCGCCTTGTTCCAAGAGCTGGGTAGTCCAGCTGGCAAGGAAGCAGTGGGAGTATTCATGGAGAAATACTCCAACCTTCTGGCCGAAGTGGATCGGGAAGTAGGAGCACTAAATACCAAGCTCGCCCAGATCCCCATTCTGGAAGCTGCGCTCAAGGAGGCGAACAATCGCAAAGATGATAGAAACTCTGCTTCTGCAGAAGAGCATGCCAACATTGAGGATTTACAGAAGGAAGTACAAGACCTCGAGACTGCCCTCTCTGATCAGGCACGAGATATGGCCGAGATGACTGCTGCTTCTAAGGAAATGCTTGCGGCTTCACAGGAAGATATCGACGAAAAGACCTCCCGGGTTGCGACTCCATCCAAGGAAGTCGAAAAGTCGGAGGAGTAAGATCAAAAGAATCTTGTCTCTCACAGTCTATACAATAGACTACCGGCTCTTACAAGGGCCAAACTGCTGCTTTCACATTGTCAAAGTAGGTATAGCTTTACCAGATCAAGGCTGAGGGGCAGAAAAGCGTGTGATCGCGGGATTCGATTGATCGGCGAACATGAAGAGCGCGCAGACTGGAGGACGAAGCGCAGGGGAATGGACAGGTAAGCTGGGTGTGAACTAGAACTTCAGTGAGGTCAAGATTTAGGCACCTGTTTCCTACGTTTGTACCTGGCTTGAGTTCAAGCAAAGGGATAGTTTACGCAGTAGTATAGAACTTGATTGTTGGCAATTGCTGCCATCTTTAACTTAGATTGAATTGTCTTTTTATAAGTGAAGGTTAACATCACACATGTTGAAGCTGTTTACCAGAGTGTGCTGATCACAGTAGAATTTTTCTGTTGAGATACAGACCCTGTAACTTTCCAAAAAGAGAAGAACAAAACATCCGATATCCATGAGAGCTACAACCGAGATAACAAATGTAAGTTTCTCTAATAATTCAAAAGGATTATGGAAGTGTCAATCTCGCTATCAATTCCCTCCGTCGATCTTATTCTTCAGTCTCTTTAGGTGTGATATTTTCTGCTTCAGGGTATTATTCTCAGTTGCTGACAAGCCCACAGTCCAACCAATCAGCATCGACCTGAGTGCGTCACCCCCACCTCTTGGTTTCCATGGAAAGCAATCTCTCCCTTCCATCATTTTGTCTCGACACCATCAACCAAGCCGAGCTGGTAAATCGTCGCTACAGTTCGTAAACTCCGTCCTAGATACGGTCTCTGGAACTGCGAAGCAATTTTTCCAAAGGAATAGTCGGGGCTCTTTAGAAGGGACCCGCTATTCAAGTCCTGCCGTGTCCTGGAGCTTTGGTGATCTGGTCTGCTAGCTATGTTTTCGAGACCGACGCGTCGCCTGCCGATGAAGCTGAGCTCTGGCTTCCCACCTGAATAAGGGATTGAGCCCGTTACTAATGTAGATATGTCCGACATCACGATTTATGCCATGTCGGATGAACATGGGGTAATACGACGCGTCCTAATCGACCCCGATCTCTAATACGAGCACATTTCTTTCACGACGCGCCTCGACATTCTTCGACAAGACAAATCGGAAGATGCTGAAGTATCTATCATTCCCACGCGCGGCCGATCAGGCACCGTACTGAATGCTTTGGGTCAGATCTCGAATACCCCGTCCCTCTACATATAGCCAGATACCCAAGAGGATCCACGCAATGGTGGTCCATCGGCGACGCGTCAAGTTGGGACGCCGGAAGGAAGACGCTGTTTAATCAGGTATCGCTAGCCTCGACGGCGGTAAAGGCGCAGAGGCTGATCATCCGCGGCCGAGCCTTCCTTCCTACGACATAATCGTCTCGCCCTCGCACACTGAACCGTCCTCGTCAAGACTTCGAAGCCTCCTCCGACCACGATTTACATATTATACTTGGGAAGATTGAAGAGCAAGACCTTTTTCGTTGCCAAGATTTACGAACGTCTCAAGACGATGAACAATAAATGGAACCCAACGCCTAATGCAGAGATAAAGAGCGCGTTCAGAGCCTCGAAAGCGAGAATAAACCCCTCAAAGAGTGTTGAGAAATTGAAGTCTCGGCCGGAGATTCAGTCCCATAACTTAGACTTGCTTAGGCACTAAGCTTAAAGTAAACTATCCTAACTTTTATAATACCCTTACCTAAGTGTCGTTTCTTCTTCAACCCACCTGCTCCCAAACTTGAAAGTAAAGGTGTGGTGGTGCTTAGCCTTCTTCGATTGAGCCTCGAATCTATCTACTCTAGTACACGCTCAACTCATGCCCGCCTGGTGGAGGGGCTGTGAGCTCATCTCGAGGACTCAACAGATTCATAAGCCATATAACTAATACCACAAAGGCCACCTTGATCTGTAGGTATGGAACATGAGTTATTCCCAGGCCCTTTAACCAAGCGAGAGGAGGTTCTTCAAGATCATCATTCTCGGGTGATTTATGCAACAGCAATTCAAGGATGGAAGCCGTCGCAGATTTTGCAGCATTGCATGCCCAGATGAAGACAGGTAACAATATCAGTAGAGTTCTCCATCGATCACCTAGAATGGATCCGTCCCCGAAGAGACCGTCAACAATAAGTACTCCGTCTCTGTCAGCCGCAAGGAGAAGGTGAGACTGAAGGATAGATATCTCTAGTGAGTGACGACCCACCCAGACCATTGCCCTCGAGTGATAGTTTCGGGTATACGTCGAGATATTGCGGAGTGTAATAAACCCCAAAATCGGGATCCAGGAAGTGAGAGGATGAAAAGAATCATAGGAGCTGGTATGTAAGCCTGTAGTCTTACTGAAGTAAAAGAAGATGGCAATTGTGCTGGCCAAGGCCAAGACTGAGCGGAGAGCCAGACTGATGGAAGTGCTGCCGATCTTGTGCTGGATGATAGCGGTGAAGATACCGAGATAGACAATGTATAAGTCGAGTGTGGTGTGGTAAGTCCACTCACCAGGGCTCCAGTGGATGTTGAAGATAAGTTGAAGGAAGCTGAATATCCACTCCATGAAGAACGATGACAAGACTAAAGAAACCACGATACCAGAAACGAGTACCTTTGTGAGTAAGAGTTGAACATCGCTGTTGTATTGTCTTCTAATTGCCATTGTTGCATAGACGACAAGAAACCAGAATGACGCACATGGTGCAGCGTGATAGAACATGTAGTCTGTGTCCATGAAGTAGGCCAGAGAGCAAGCTAGAGTGTTCAAACGAAGTAGAATAGCTGCTACGCGGGTGAAGGAGAAGTCTTCTGTCCGGATGAAGTAGCGAGTGTGGCCATACCCGGTCTGAAACAGATATGCAGCGACGCATAGGCGAAAGAGAATGTAGATGGAAATACTACCCTTGCTCGCTTCAGTCCAGTGATTGACCATAATAAAGGATTGCATCCAACCCTTCCACTCTTCTGTCTGGTTCCGGGAGAGAAAAGGTTCATCTTGGTCGCGAGGTACGAGCTTCTCTGATAGTGGCGATGGCTCGCTCTCTGGGAGTAGAGATTCCGAGGTTTCATCTATTGAAGATTGGCTGGTCGGGCACTTGGAGCCGTAACGCCGAATTGTGAAAAGCGATGCAGCAAGACAGACAGCGCACAAAACCGCGAACCCCTCTGCCTCCCAAAGCTTGTTTCCTTTAGCCATCATCTGCGTGCGGTCGCCGAAATGACACATGAGCAAGACCAGTACAAAAGACCCTGGTTGCATGTTGAGTAAGGTCCATGTAGACTGCTTCAGGTTCAGAAGATGCAGGAGCTCGCAAATGACACAAGCGACCAGGTATGCAATGCTGAGAAGAACAACAATGCTATACTGGTTGCCACCATAATCAGTACAACAAGTCCCAGCATGATATCGCTTCATCCGGTTGAGCTTTGCGTTGCAGCGCAGATTGAGGACAATATTCGCACGAGCCTCGGAAACTGAGTCGATAACATGAGCTGCCTTCTCAAGCGGATCGATCCAAGTCTTGTTCTGATTTGCAACAACTTCAACGACGGACCATAAGATGGGGATTCTATGGTTTTGTTCGGTTTCGTGTAACCAGTTGTGCATGTCAATGACCTCTGATGCTTTGCGATTACTCTCATCAATTGATTCTGATTCGTTTCCTTGGTAGCAAGGTCCTGAGGCGGGACCATAGAAGATCTGATTGCCGATACCGTCATATGAATCCATAGGCGCTGTGAACGGGTCAATGTCAGGTGTATGATCAATGATGTACTTGGATATATCGTTAAATCGGTCTTGGTAATCTTCAAAACGTGGCTCCCATGGCACATTCCTTGACCCATTTTTGTTGTTTGTAAACCAAAGACCCGCAGCCATGTAGATCAGAGCAGGGCCTTCCTGATCGTTGATCGTTGGTGGGTTTGTCTTCTCTTCAGCATATTTATCGAGGTTCGGAACAAACCCTCCTTCTTTTTCTTGTTGCGCCTTGCCGTGACTGTTGAGGTAGACGTTTGAGAGTCGCTGAATTAGCTGACCATCGTATGTCAAGTTCACATTGTCTCGCAGCCTCGGAAAGGCCTCAAGTTTCGTATCCTGTTCGTGTTGTTTCCTGTTGATCTGGAACCACTAATGTTAGCACTCCCTCTTTGATGTAGTCTAATTTGAACGTACCAGACGGCTGAAGGCATAGGCTACATGTCGAGACGTCGAGTCGCCCACAACGACAATTCGACGACCTTCTGTGCATTGACGGATGTCACTGGAATCGTACTGATGGAAAACGCATCCATCCGGCTGCCATTGATGAAACGGATACCGATGGCCCTTTTCGTCTGGTGGGTCGATCCACCGACCGGTGTTCTGGACCGCACGGCAACGGTAAGGGTCGTCATTGGGTAAGAAAGACTTGAGAGAAATCCCGGCTATAAAAAGTACGGCCAGAATTGTAGAGAACACCCTTGATGATGGAAAATACATGTTGATGGGTTAAGATCTGTAGTCCAAAATGAGTTTTACTGAATGTCTTGCCCTGAAAGGCCAAATGAGAAGATACTGTCATCTGAATTAAGAAAGGGAAAGGCCCGAACTTAACCACGTTTATTGTTCCTCCCTTCAACCGTTGGTGGCGGTTTGTTCTTGGCTGAGGGAGACTCAGTGGCTGAATTAGAATATGCGGATGGAGGTACGGGAATGCGAAGACATCGGTTATGCTTGTTGTGTCCAATAAACAAATGGAGATAAGCAGGGCTAGGCCTTGGCCAGCTGGATCGACTGCTAAGAGTTCTCCCTTGCACGCTTGACTGCTAAGAGCTACTCCCTCTGTACCTACCCACTCTAATGGGTCTGGGCGTAAGACATTGGCGACAAGTGAGACAACACTCCTCAGTCGGAATCCAGGATTTGCCTAACGAAGTATCTACAGTGGCAATCCAGGTTTTCTTTTCTTTCTTAAAGCAGATGTGCAAAGACTCTCCTAATCCCGTTAGGCACTTCTTCAGCTTTCAATACAGCGGCATAGCCCGCAAAACTAATCGCTAGACCTAGCTTGTTGAGGTATTGATGGACTCAAAAGTGGCTTGCGGCTTGCATTAGCACCAGCCCGAGCGCACACTAAGACGGAGCGGTAAGTTCTCCAGCAACTTTTACACTGTAATTTCTACGTCATTCCCGCTCTGCTAATCACGTCGCGGGATTTACTAATAAGGATCAAAATAAAGCAAGCTCAAGTAAAGCTATCCATTAACTTGATCATTATCCTACAATGACTTTAAGTGATGGCCACTATCGCATCACAGGAATTCAGGATGGTCTGGATCCCGATGGAGACAACTTTCTTCGTGAGGTTCCTGTTCGTATGGATGTTGATGAGTGGTTCCTCTCTCAGGAACCTATCCATATTAACCAGCGCGCCCTGTTTTTCCCTGCCTTCTGGGCTTTCTCTCAAACGAGTCCTCATGAGAGGTTGTCCTGGTTCCAAATTGCTGGTTTGTACTGCAAGTACTACCTGACGCTACATACAGCTAACATCATCCAGGAATCCACGGGAAGCCTTTTGTTGCGTGGGACGAAGATGCGCAGGAGGGCAAGACAGAAAATGGATACTGCACTCACAACAGTATCCTCTTTACTACCTGGCATCGACCCTACATGCTGCTCTGGGAGGTAAGACTTTGTCCGTTGGATGCTCAATTGTATTTAACTAACCTCGGTAGCAAGTTATCTGTGACATGATGAAGAAGGAGGCTGAGAAGTTCCAAGAGAACGACCGAGAGGAACTTCTTGACGCAGCCAAGTCCTGGCGATTTCCCTTTTGGGACTGGGCAGGAAAGAAGCAAAGCCCAGGTAAGGATGGGAAATATGACTACCACATCCCACTGGTGGTTCAGATTGAGGAACTTTATATCAGAAGTCCCTCTGGCTTCAGTACTGTGAAGAACGGATTTTACCAATACACCATGCCCGGAGGCGTGACCATGGGGGATGAAAGCCTGAAGGATCCCAGTGACCCCGAGAACCCACTCAAAGATCTGAGAATTACACCAAATACCGGGAAGACGCACAGTGGACTAAAGTACACTCTTCCTGTGAGCGTCCCTTCGAACGAGCGACCTCCACATGCTAACATGGAATAGTTTGACGAGTGTTCTGGCACCAGCCGATACGCTGATGGTCACAGATCGATCGACCAGAACTGGACGAATGGGAAACAGAACAACAAGATGATTGAACAAGCCATGCGCGGCTACGAGTGGGACCCAGTGTCTAACACCGACAACGAAGACAAGAAAACCTGGGGTAAGCAGCGAAGTAAACTGACAGCCAGTTTGCGAGAAGCATTTTATCGAGTTCTTACGATCGAAAGGTTCGAGGATTTTGCGACGAAGCGGATGCCAGATATGGAACCAGAGTCCAAGTCGGGTCCTGGCTATAATCAAAAGGGCTATGCGTTTGATTCAATTGAGAACATCCACGACAATTTGCATGGGTGGTGTGGTGGAGACGTGACTACTGTTAATGATGGCATCGCCCTGTTGGGACACATGTCTGATGTTACAGTTGCTGCTTTCGACCCAATCTTTTGGCTTCACCATTGGTATGTTATCCTTAGCCCCAGATTAAGGTGTTGGTTCTAATATGCGACAGTAACATCGATCGTATGTTTGCTATGTGGCAGATATTACATGAGGATCAGTGGTTCAGTGACAGTGATATCCGTAACAAGGACGAAGGTAACTTCTGGATCAAGGCTGGCCACACATTTAAATCCACCGATGAGTTGCGTCCCTTTCGCAATGAAAATGGAGACTACTATACTTCCAATGCGGTGCGGGAAGTGACTAGGCTGGGTTACACCTATCCAGGTCTTGAGAAGTGGCTGTACCTGAAACCAGATGGATCCTACGACAAGGAAGGACACCTGGACGCTCTACGTGAGACACTGTCGAGAAATTACAATGCTTCATGGGAGGCTGTGCAAGCGTCACACTTGTCACAAGCTATCCAGGGCCAAAATGGTCTGCCTGTGTTGAGCTTTGGAGAGTATAGAGAGAATGCGGTGGATTTGCTTGGGGTCGATGATTACGTGATCGACGTGGAGTACGACAAGTAAGTCTTGACAGCATTGAGACTTCACTCAATCGCCGACCTGACATCAACAGATTCGCTCTCAGTGGGAGGGGGTTCACCGTCAGCATTTTCATCGGCAGAGTACCTAAGCATTCACCGTACACCATGGGACAAGTGGATTCTCTTGTGGGCCAGATTATCAATTTCTCATCAGATGTTCCAGCATCAAATATTCGAGGTTGCCAAAACTGTCGAAAACAACAAGAAGAGAAGATAATCTCAACCGGCCGTGTCGTGCTCACTAATGCTCTTATTACACGATGGAAGTACCAGATTAAGCACACTCCACATCTCGCTGGTGGTGAATCTGTGCTTCGTGGCATGGAACCAGACAATGTTATCCCGTTCCTCAAGGATAACCTCCACTGGCGCGTTACCTCGATGGGCGAGGATGTCAGTGGGAGCCAGATCCCTTCTCTGAAGGTGTTACTTGGAGTTGGAAAGGCTGATTATTATGCTGACAGGGCGAAGATGTCCCGATTCTATAATTACGAGCATATAGATATAGGTACTGAGGGATGCCCGAATTGTTGTTCTGGTGGATTTGACTTCCCCCAGAAAGGTTTAGTGGCATGTGCTACTGGTCCAAACAGCATATGTTTGGCATCAAGCAATTGTGGATGTGCACGAAGACTATTGTCAAGATTATAGAGCACGATAGTAGTAGATAGAGCCTACCTTGTTTCTTTAAAAGATATCACATCACTGAATTCTAACGTCCTGCTGTACTAAACGAATTTTACCCTAATTTAATGACCTCGGGATCTTCAAGAGAACAAGAAGGAGAAATGGAATAGAGTCAAGTCGATGTATTTGAACATGACTCTATCAAACAGAGAACTGAACCCAGCGCCTCTTATCTATCTTTTAATATTACTTAATGTCTAGAAACCCTCAGTGACGAAGCAGTATATGATAAACACAGATTCTTTGTTTCTGGTGTAGGGTATTCTGTAGAAAGAAGCAAAACTCAACTTGATCGATCAAGAACAAGGCGCATGTTCTAGTCTATCATCTGGGACAACAAAGGTTTCTTTTACATCATCTTTAGCAACCTGATTCCGGTGTGCTTGGGTGAAATATACAGCATCAATTCTTTTGAGACAGGTAAAGTTTTATGCGATCCATTACTGGTGAGAGGTCAGAAGCTGTGGAGCCTGATGATTACTCCACGAGCCAGCCACCTGTGGCAGGGTATCAGTCAGACAAGATAAGACCCGCTAGCCACAAGTGGCAGTGCAAAACCCAGTATTCTGTACGAACCTGCCAAACAAAAGATAACTATTCTGTGGTGTCAAGACCGGCTGAAAGGCATGACTTGTGACAGTTGAAAGAGCTTATAGCCGCAAAGTAAATGCTTATCGTCCGATCCAGGTGTTGGAGATTATTGTCCTGTTGGTCCTCGGAGACTAGGCTCTACAAGGCTTAGCGAGAAGGTACCGATGTCGGAATTGTCCTCTGGGCATCTTTCAGTGACAATATTGTGAGTCAGAGTAGATAAGAGAGTTGAGGAAAGACAGAGTGACCGTTTCTCTGAATTGCTGCTTAAGACTTAAACTAGCACATTCTGCCATCTTAAAGCTCTAGCTTCACTTTCAATCAACTACGCTATTCAAGGTTCACGATAAGCTGGTATCCTCGACACTATGGCTGAACGTCAGCTGCACAGACTAGGCTTCGTCCAGATCCGAACGACTCTTGCGCAACTACCATACCCGCGATTGGAGGACCGCCCAACTATAACCACGGAACGATTGGTTCTCAAGCCATTCTATGAGGGCGCTGCTGAAGACCTTCACCCTATGCGAGTTCAGCAAGAGGTCATGAAGTGGACATCACAAGGCGCCCCAGACAAGAGCATTGAGGAAACCAGGAAGTGGACTCTAACAAGACTTCCCCCGAACCATGAGATCGACTTCAGTTATGTCATCAGCCTTCTCGAAACTGGTGAAGTCATTGGTGCAGGTGGCTCTTTCAGACGAGAGTGCGAGCTTGGATGGCCAGGGATCGGATATGCATTTCGAAAAGAGGCTTGGGGAAAGGGCTATGCAACTGAGTTTGTGAAGGCGTACATGGAAGCTTGGTGGAAGCTGCCTCGTGTTGAAGTCTTGATGGAGGTAGACCACACCACCCTCAGTGAAGAAGAAATAGCCGCCAGTCCAGAAGCTCTGATTGAAGAACGATGCTCGGCGGAGGCACTCAGCAACAACCCAGGTAGCCATCGCGTTTTGGAGAAGGCTGGATTTGTGAAAGTAAAAGAATGGAGGAATGAAGAAAAGAATTGGTTGATATATGGATGGGTAACGCCTGCTGATGCCAGGACAAGAGGAAAGTCAGCATAACTCGGATAAACCTATTCTGGGGTCTCAGTACCCTTTCCCTCCCCGGCTGATTTGATAGCGTACGCTTTCTTCCAAGCATCTCTGGCTACATGTTCCTTACAACTGAAGCTCCAAGGAGTGTATGTTTCTACAATGTACCTTAAGAGCCAATGAACCATGCTGGCCTGCTCGGAGCTCGTTCTCATATAGGTTCTTACAAATCGCTTCTTGTCTTCAAGTGGCATATTAGGATATGCTTTACCCACTTTCAAAAGTTTCTTTTCTTCCGATGCCTGTTCCTTTTCGCTGTGTAAATCATAGCCTCTTCAGAGATCTCACGTGGGACAAAGAGACCAACTTGCTTTGGCCGGTTACTCTTTGGATGGTACTACAACAAGAATTAGTGCTTATAGCCACTCGCAGAGACGGAGTAATTACACAGGCGAATACTTCCTTCCCTGCATTTTGAGTTATGGCTCGACACAATCTTGTCAACAAAACATCTCCCATTGCGACAAATGCATAGCCGGCGGGTCGAAACCTAGACCCGCATTTAATCTTGTAATGGAGGTTAGCAGGAACGTCATGTGCGAAGAGGCTAAGCTACCGACTTCCTCTCTATGTTTATTTCTATAAACGGGATAAATCGGATTTGTATCTGGTTTCTTCGTGAAGGCTCTGGATGCTAAGGGAAGGGCAGGTTTGCAATAGTTGCAGACTGATACTCTTGGTACATTGGAAATCTCAGTTCGATTTGCAATAGGTAGACTTGGAATCTTACATCGTAAAAACATAAATTCTGTTAATAAATCTTAATAGGTTGACTAACAACAAGGAGATTAGAGCGGTAAAAGTATTTAAGGGGCTAGAAGCTAACATAAGGGTCTAGGATATAATTAGTAAAGTTAGCTAGAAACTAGTAATATAAATAAAACCAAGAGGTAACATTGCTAACTAATTAACGGAAAGTAAGCTAAGTATTAAGTTGCATATAACTGTAAGTAAGTCAAACGAGTGGCTAATCTCCGAGAGATACAGTAGAGGTAAAGGAGAGATAGATATTGCTTTACAATTCGCCTCATGGTCTTCCACCGCCGGGCCTGCCTCCGCCTTGGCCACCACCGGGCTGCTGTCCACCTCCGGGTTGTTGACCTCCTTGACCTCCTCCGGGTTGCTGGCCACCTTGACCACCACCTGGCTGTTGACCTCCTTGACCACCGCCGGGCTGTTGACCACCGCCGGGTTGTTGTCCTCCTTGGCCACCACCTGGCTGTTGACCTCCTTGGCCACCGCCGGGCTGCTGTCCACCGCCGGGTTGCTGGCTACCTTGACCACCGCCGGGCTGTTGACCTCCTTGTCCACCACCAGGCTGCTGACCTCCTTGGCTACCGCCGGGCTGTTGACCACCGCCGGGTTGTTGACCTCCTCCGGGTTGCTGGCCACCTTGACTACCACCTGGCTGTTGACCTCCTTGACCACCGCCGGGTTGTTGACCTCCTCCGGGTTGCTGTCCACCTCCAGGCTGCTGGCCACCCTGGCCTCCACCTGGCTGTTGACCACCACCTGGCTGTTGAGCTCCACCAGGCTGCTGGCCACC